AGAGACACAGACACACAGAGTAAGGATAGGATTTATGGCAGTTTGTGTCTATGACTCTCTCTCTCTCGGATCTATGATACACATGTGAGTAGACATCACTTATGTATGTGAAAATTATCGTGATGTTATAGCGTCTGACTGTTCTTCTGACTTCTCAGAGAAAGAGTATTTTCTCCACTATGAACAGAACCGAAAAACCCTCAACTTCTCTACATTACCTTACCATATCTGAAATTCTCTGAACTGCTATCAACTTCACTACATTACCTTACCTTACCTTACAATATCTGAAATTCTCTGAACTTCTCTACATTACCTTACGTTACGTTATTGTATCTAAAATCCTTTGAAGTTCTGAACTTCTCCTCCTCTCAATACGGTACCTTGTTTTATTTAACGTGGTGTAATCTTAGCTGCTCTTGTCTGCCATACCTTACTATGCCTGTACTTATTCCACTATTCATTGTGTTGTAGTGTTCTAGCTTAGCTGACTGGAACTTAACATTCACGTCGTTAGTCCCAGTTAAAGTGGCCTTTTTCTGACTTCTCAGAGAAAGAGTATTTTCTCCGCTCTCAAAGGTTCGGCAGATGTGAAAAAGATTGGAAGTATGTTAAAAGTTTGAAAAAATGAATAAAAAATCTACGAGACCTTTAAAGGATCTTTCCCTGGATACAAGGGAAGATCTTTTTCTTGCCTCGAAACTTTTTAACTTTCGTAGAGCAAAAAACTGGATTTGTAAGCATATACAAAACCTTCAAAGTTTCGTATTTAACCTAATAGTTTATTAGAAGAAATTATGCCACTATAATCGCAAACTAAAATGGTAATTGTAATTGGTAGAATGAATAAAATTGTAAACCACCGCTCTGGTGTTTCTTTATACTGTGCCATAAGACGACAATGAATATCATTATCACGATTTCGAAGAGACGTTTGAAACTGTTGGAACAAATCTTTTCCATGATAAAGTATTGTATGGAGAAATAATGCCGGAAAAATAGCTAATTGACATGCATACTTGATCACGACTGAAAGGCTGAAATACGCCGATCCATATAGTTCATATGCTGTTACATTCAAACGGACATTATCCATGTTGTCCGAATAATTTATCACTTTTGACCAATCATACCAAGTTCCATCTTCGTGATAAGGAGATTCACTTTTCATTGAAGACATGTTTCGCATATTCCATATATTTAAAAAATATAGAATCGATGAAACAATCCACGTTGTTAGTACAAAACCAACAGCAATATTTAGTTGCACCCACTCAGGAACGACCAAAGGTGAATTTAACCAACGATTAAAATTCACTTCACCCAGATTCAGATTCAATGCTCCAAACCCAAACTTATGTTCCCCAGTAAGTTCGACAAGAAGAGGATTGTGAGGTTTAATAAAGCAAATCCATGCAAAAGTGGCCAAAAGTGGTATCAAAAAGCTTGGTAACCAACTGTAAACAAATAGACATGTTAAAGCTCGGTAAAAAAATTGAATACGACGGATTTTCCATATGGACTTTCCTTTTGTTTGGCTATCTACTTTATTTTCATTATGAAGAGTACGAAATAGGACAATGTATGGCATGATATGTGGCCAAACCATAGAAGAAGGCCAAACAGCGCCCCAAAATTGAAAAGTATGTGTGACTTTCTCCCAAGATTTTGAAATTTTCCTGCTAAAATGTTATAAATCTCGTGATTAAGTCTGGTAAAAACCTGATTTTTAAGCTTTCTCTGACATTTTTTTCGCAAGCAGTCCAACAAAAAACTTACTAGGAAAATGTTTCGTTGAAAGATTCACATAATAATAACAACGTCTTCATTTTTCTTGAATCGATTATTTGCTGCGTTACTCAGAGATATTTTACAACTTACAATGGTGTGTGTGGGATGTAAGGCGCGGCCAAAGGGAATCTGGAGGTCCAATAAGCTCTCACTACCAAACTCACGAAGTTAAAAGATGTCCTCCTCACGGCGCACTTGAAACCGAGATAAATGAACTTCAAGGTATAGGTACAGTTTGGACATGAGAACGAAGTGACATGAGAGTTAACAAATGAACCAGAACAAATATTATTATTTTTTCCATCATCTAACACGTTTTGACTAAGAAAGAAGAGATATCTGGAAATGTTGCGTGAAAAGCTCTACAATCTAGAACACGAAGCTTATTTTATAAGCATCTTAAACGAGGAAGGTGTCCGAACTATTTCATCGGTTTTGAGCTTAAAGGCGATTGGAAACTCACTTATATCTATTCTATTGGATTTTCGACTTCGCGCAAGGCCTTCGTGGAAAAACTCGAAGACAGTATTCTGATCTGTCGTTTTGCCCATACATAGCTCTCACGGTCATTAGAATGCCTTCAAAATATCAGCCAAAGCAAATGCTTTATATTTGACATGTTGAATTTTTATCACTACCTGATTTTCTCAGCTATCTGCAGCACATGATCGTTTTCTAGACAACCAAATGCTCAAGGATAATACACTCGTTTTGGCTGATATTTTGAAGGCATTCTAATGACCATGAGAGCTATGTATGAGCAAAACGACAGATCAGAATACTGTCTTCGAGTTTTTCCACGAAGGCCTTGCGCGAAGTCGAAAATCCAATAGAATAGATATAAGTGAGTTTCCAATCGCCTTTAAGCTCAAAACCGATGAAATAGTTCGGACACCTTCCTCGTTTAAGATGCTTATAAAATAAGCTTCGTGTTCTAGATTGTAGAGCTTTTCACGCAACATTTCCAGATATCTCTTCTTTCTTAGTCAAAACGTGTTAGATGATGGAAAAAATAATAATATTTGTTCTGGTTCATTTGTTAACTCTCATGTCACTTCGTTCTCATGTCCAAACTGTACCTATACCTTGAAGTTCATTACTTTGGGTACGAGTGTGCCTTGAGAACGATATATTTCTGTACTTTGTAATTTTGACAGCGGAAGTTTTTAGTGGACCTGAAGGTGCCGTATACACATGAGTTTTATCACAGATCTCCATTGTTAGAACAAAATACCATGCGATACTTGCAATGGAAGCAAGTATCAGATTTTACTGTTTCAGATGTCTATTTAAAACACTGTCATTAGAAGCGTAACCTAAGATTCTATCTGCTTGAAAATTTATAAACAGAAGATAAAATATAACCAAAAGTAAAAAGAACTTTACCTGCAAAACCACATCCCAGGAGTCTTATTGAAAGCAGATGAATAAAAATCCAAAAAGGATGTACTGAGTTTTTGTACAATTGTTTTGTTGCCTCAAGTGGTTCCAAATGATAATTTTTGGAGGAAAAGGCTACAGTCAGAACAATGAGAGTGTGCTCCTTAATTGTAAATGGTCCAGGATTCAAGGAAAATTGATGGTTGTTAGTGAGCGGTAGTTTGAACGACATTGAGGGTAAAATGCGTGCTATCAATTTTCCAAGCGCAAGTGATAAAAGAAGTATAAAGAGTTCATAGAATTTTATCGGAATCTTATTATAATAGAAATATGTGTTGAGCGATGAAAGTAGAGTAACGAACAATACTCCGATAAACCACGCTCGAAACGTTGAACAAAGTATTTCTTGATCATCTTCATTTGACACAATCCCGTCGACCTCCTCATACGTTGTATGTTCTGCTTCGATATTTTCATTATGTGGATTTCCAAGATTTTGTGTGGACTGTCGTTCCTCTGCTACTGTGAAATTATTATCTCGCTGATTAATGTCCATTTTTTCAGTTTCGCGTATGTCTATTATTCGCCGTCTGTACCCAACTTATATGGTATAGACTCGACTATCTTTCCTTGTCGGTGTGGGAAATAATCAGAAGAAAACACGTGCTTGATTTTCTCCAAGAAACGTCGAGATAGTATCAAGATATCTATCCATAACTGTCATCAAGTAATTAGAATAACTGTCATAATAGCGAATGCCATAGAAGATATCAGAGACGGGAAAAAATATTCTCCGAATATTAGCAAAAGAAATAGAAAAAATAAAGAAGAAAGTGTATCACACAGTAGAACTATTTATAACTCCTATATCTAAGGAATTCGATAAGGAATCCGGATTCGATCGCCCTCGGATTCTAAGGAATCCGAAATAATTGTTTCTTAGCATATAAAGTAGAAAAGCTTTGAACAATGTTCTGGCAAGCAAAAGGATGGAGAATGTTCATCCGTCTTCGAACTGATGATATTTCTTTTTTCGGCAACCTTCTAAATCGATTGATTGTTTACAATGGTGACAGAAACCTTTACATGATGATGACCAAGGTTATCGACATTTATCACAGATAGCTAAACACTCTCTAGATTCTTCTGATTCTTGACAACATGAATACTTTGAAGCACAACCTGGAGCATCTACATTCTCTTTTCCACAGCATGACCATTTATCTGTAAAACAACGTGGTTCTGTCCACATACCATGATGATAGACTTCTAAATCACCACTGTGAATAAAACCCTTTTGACCAAGATGCTCTATAGCTCTATCATGATATACACACGGAACACAAAAAGTTAATTTTGGATGCTTTTATACATAGTGTACATACCTACCAAATGAAAAAGTTGAAATTAAATGGACACGATGTATATCGCGTTGTGTCCATTCATCACAATACTATTTAAACCAAGACAAACGCAGCCGCATTTTTTTGGTTATCGCGGTGCTTATCTGAAACTTCATTATACAATATAATTGCGCTGTTTGGTTTTATCACGTTTAGATACTTAGACTTCTCGCTACAACTTGG